TCCTTGGCTTGCCTTGTGATCACACCTTGCATAACTTCCAATACAAAGCATGAAAGGAAACTACCTTACATACAATTCACAGAACTTGCTCAGATTTCACCAGCCGTGTGTGTGTGTGTGTGTGTGTGTGTGTGTGTTTAGCCGTAGGCACTTCTATCCCCCATGTAGATGGTGGAAATGGTACTATGGTCAAGACCATAGACCAGTTCTATCACTGTTTCCCATCTATTCCCTAACTCCTGGGGATGATAGTTAGCTTTCATCAATAAGCAACTGTTTGTTTTTTGATAAAGTTTTTCACTATGTGGTTCAGGCTGGCCTTGAACTCACAATATACTTGAACTCACAGCCTCCTGACTGCTGAAATTAGTGGTGTGCAGCACTACACACAACAGGTCAATAAGCAACTATTAATCCTTTATGTGCAAATCACAGTGCCACGCATCATGATTGATATGATCAAATAAACTGTGACCTAATGGGTAGAGGTTTAAGCAGAAACCAGATGACTGGGTTCAAATCACAAATGGTCACTTTGTATTTTGGCTTTCTCTGCCAGTTTTTTCAATAAAATGAAGCTAGGAATGGAACTTCACCTGGTTGTTACAAGAATAAAATGAGGCTCAGAAAGCAAGTGGAAAGTGCTTGTCACGAATGGATGGCCGTTATTACCCAAGAATCCACAATCTTGTGGAGTGCACACAAAACTCCTACCAGGTCAGCCTGTGTAAGTGACATAAAATAAATGCACACAACACAGTAAAGGACTAGGAGGGCGTGATCCACTCTGTTTGCCGAAGGCTGGGACAGGCTTCATAGGAAAGGAACATTTGGGCTGGGCTTTGAAGTATGAGTAAGGCTGGCAGAAATAGAAGGGAAGGAAATGTTTCGGGCTGACAGAACAGCTCAGTCTGTGGCCCTGAGGCATGAGAAGGCAGAGACCATTCCCAGAAGGACAGAAAAACTAGAACAAGAGGCTGAGAGGAGGCTGGAGGGGCCAAGATGAGCAGCAGCCATCACCCTCTGAGTGAAGGCTGGGCCAGTGCTGGAGGAGAACTTAAAGATCATGCTGCACTAAGGTCGAGGTTTTGCAGTCCTGGTGGAGAGCAGCAGAGAGAGGGAGAGAGAAAGTACTTTCTGCATTACAACATGCACACAACCATAATTCATGATCAACAGGGGCAGCAGTGGCAACATGTTCCACACAGTGACAGTTTGGGGAAAGGGCATTAGAAGTTACTACACTGATTCACGCCAGGACCTGTCTTCGCCTTGCTGGTGCAGTTTCTACTTCAGCCAGGTGTTTGCAATTTCCTTACTAGTAGCCTCAAATCATCCTCCTCTCCAAAGGAAGCCAGGGGCAGGGACTTCCAGGGCTCCTGCTTTCTCTCCCAGTCTCTGGCCCCACTAGCTCTGTGACTCAGGGGTCCTCAGTGCTGACCACTGGTGATCGCCTTCCACAGACTCAGGAAGGGTGGGTCTCTGAACACGGGCTTCATCTAGCTTTCCCCTTTCTCTGGCCTCCTCTTCCTTTCCTCTATCCTAGGCTAAGCTCTCTTCCCAGGTGTTTGCTGGGGCCCTTGCCTGTGACTTCGATTCCCTAGCCAATGCCTGAGTAGACTCCAGCCCATCTTTCACAACATAATCTTGCTGCCTCAGTCCCAGATTTTCCAAAGACCTGCTGCTGCCTACGCTGGGGTGTGGCACGCTGAGCAAGAGTGAATTCCTTTGTGCTGCTGCTTTGAGAAGTGTTCTCCATCCACCACTTTTTCCAGCTATTTTTTTAGAGAAGGAGGAAGGACAAGGAGCTTACCTTATTTGCTTAACCAAATTGTGTGGTTAATTATACATTGCTTGAAAAAAATGACTACATCATGATAACCTCCAACACCTTTCCATCTGTGACACCTTTTCACATCCATAAAAAAGAGGATGGAGACATGGTTGTTGCTAAGTGGGCAATGGTGGTGAAGATTCATGATCTGAAAAATAACAATAATAATGAGAAACACTTGCCTTTCCACTGCAGAGTTGCATATATGGACTAGTCAGAAGATCATGGAAATGCCAAAGACTTAGAAATAAGCACCCCCAAGTACCCTAAATACAACAGCCTCTTGTCCTCCATGTAACAAAGCACATTTTCTTCTCTAGACGGTGTTTTAACTTCAGAGATGAGCACCCATCACTTAAGTGTCCTATGAAAGACAAGCCAGTGGCACGGTGTCCTCCTACTCAGACACCTCAAGCCATTCTCCCATGCCACTGTACATTTTAGGGGAAAAAATCCACTGCTAGCCATTAAATCAGATTCTTCATGTCAATAAACCAAATACCAAACTAAATTACTTGAAAAAATTCACATGATAATCCAGGAAAATCAAGTCCCAGAAATAAACAAAGTAGAGAAAGCAAGCAAGCAAGCTTGATTTTCCTAGTTTTGTAGCTCTAGCCCAATACATGAGTTTGGAAAAATGTCGGTATCTTCAAGTCCCGCCACAAAACCTTTCACACACAGAGACTGTGTCTTTCCACATTTTGTATGAAGAGTCATTGAGTCTTCACTCTTTCGCCTCTCACCCTAGCAGAGGACAGCGAGCCATGAGAAGAACTGCCATTTAAAGATGCCAAGGAGGATCTAGTTTTAATTTAACGTAATAGAATAATCTATTAAGAAATTAATTGTACCCTAGGTCTCACTGAAGCAGACTAAATGTCATTTCCGGTCCCCATACAGATCCCTGTCACTCACTGCCTCCACTCCCATCCCCAGGGTGGCTTCAGTCAACTTTATTTTTGAAATGTCCAGGAGTGTGGCAAACTCTAACACCTATGCGAATCCCCTGAGGACCTTGTTAATAATAGCTATTTAGGGTCCCACAATATCCCTACCAGTTGAGAATTCAGGGGCTTAGAGTGGGAGCCACCTTCCAACAAATCACCTTGCAAGTTCAGGGTGATTTAAGGATACCTACAGGAAGTATTATGTCCATCCAGACAAAAGTCCCTTACAGCCAGGTAAGATGGCACCCAGGGAAGCCAAAGCTTCAGAGGAAGGATCAGTCTTGGGATCAGAAGGTTCTAAGCTTGGTCTATATCATGCAGCAAGGGCCACTGTAGGGTTTTAAGTAGGTGACACCCTAAGTTTCACAGCTTGCAGGTGAGGTGGTCACTCTCTCCAGGAAGCCAGCATCCAGGTTCAGGAGACATTCCTGACCCTCTGGGCCCCAGGAAGACCACACACACAGTGCTTGGAACTCTCTGATGACCAACAGCACAGGTCTGTAATACTGTCTTCACCTCCTCACCACCACAGACATGGCCAAACAAGGAACTTGCCCATAGTGTCTGGAACACAGTAATTGTCCGATAAACATTTAATCAAGCAGAATATTGTTTTCCAGGTACAAACACAGCAGTACTGAATAGTCCTGATTGTTTATACAGAAAGCCACTGCACTGCCTCCCCACCAATCAGTGCTTGCATGGCTCAGCATGCTTCATTTCAACACAGAATCTGGGCTCTGAGCATAAACCTCCTTAACTAAATTTAAGCATATTGCAATGCAACATGATCCAAACATATGTGAATACTTAAAAATTTTAAAAATTACTACAGCAAAAGAAATTGCCCTTGATCTCCCTCAAAATCACCCCCCCCCCCATTTTGAGCACATTTATCATCCTGGCCATTTTCCAAAGCAGTTCTGGAAGTCCTTCTTTTTGAGTGTCATTACTTGTGCTGGTCTGGCTGCCGTGATGTTCTGAATCAAAATTCAAAACATTTACCTTTCATTTTGACATTGGGGAAAAGCCAGAAATTGCACGGTGCCAGATCAGGGAACTGAGGTGGATGAGAACACAGTGTCTTGTTTTGGTTCAGCAGAAACTGCTGTAAATGTTTAGATACAGGTCATCAAGGCAGTCACAGAATGATAGTCTCAAAAGAGGGCTTTGAGTTCCACTTTAGAAACTGGCAAGAAAGAGGGGTTTGGCGTGTTCAAAACCTGGGGTGCAGAGGAGGGTTTAGTGGGAGATAAAAGGCAATGTGTTTCTCACTGTAATAATTCTTTTAAACACAAATTATTTTTTGCTCTGTCCTCTTGAGAAGTTAGTTTTCATTTTGATGTGTCTGAAAGAACTAGAATTCTCGCAGTCCATATGCTTCTGAAAGGCAGGAAAATGTACCAAGAGCCAATTATAGAACGTCAAATCGCCTGGTGTCCAGAATCTTTCAAATCCTAAATGCAAAACACCTGCACGCTGGTCAGGCCCTCGCTCTCGTGCCCCCAGCCCCAAGCACCTGTTTCAGTCGGGCCTGCTTGACAGGAAGAAGCAAGAAGCAGAATTTTCCAATTCTGAATTTTTTTGTTTTTGCTTTTTTAAGTAGCCAACAAACACTCCAAAAACTAAGAATCCTAGTGACTCATCCCTGTAAGATCCCCACGAGAGTCCTTGCGCTTCCCAGGGAAGACTGAACTACCAAGGGCTGGGAGGATGGGGACTGGGGATGTAACCCAGTGGCTTGTTTACCTTGGAGGCTCCTGTGGACCTGCAGAGGGGGTGCAACTCGCCAGACCCCACTTCAATCAGGGCTCCTGGAACTCGCGCTGTGCCCGTGACTTGGGGGCTTGTTAATCCCAAGGTTTGGGGGCCCACGGGTGAGCAGACAGAGGATATCTAAGCATTTGGGGGCGCCCTGGATAAGTGGCTCCAGAGTGGCCTTCCCCAGATCTACCCGAAGGGCTGAGGTCCCAGTCCCAGGCGCAGCAGCGGGAGGCCAGCCCAGGACTGCACCTGGCCCTCCACAGACCTCTACGCCCCGCACTCTTGCCTCCCCTCCAGCACACCTTGGGGCTCGAGCCCCGCCCGGCCTCCCACACCTGCATCCTCAGGCGGGCTGGGGAGGAGCCCGGCACCCCCACCCCCAGCTCGCAGCTGCTGCAGGGCTTGCGGTGCCCCGGGTGGGCTGCGCCCGGGGGGTGGGGAGGGCGGCGCGGCCCGGGTTTGGCTCCATGGCTGTGCACCTGCCCGCTTGCCCGCGAGGCTTCATTAGGCCGCGCCTGTGCCCGGGGAAGGCAGCGCGGAGTCGCTGCATGGAGGCCACACGGGGTCCCTGCGCAGAATGAGGGGTGAGCTCACAAGGGTTTCGGCTGGGAGGTTTCAGGTAACCGCACCTCCGGGGTTAGAGGACCTAGGAGCCTAGGGAGGCCCGTGGGCTGTTCACCTTCCTCTGTGGGATTTAGAGACCCTAATGGTGGATCGGTGGGCGGGAGACACTGGGCCTGCAGCCCCAGACCCTTTCTAGAGTAAGTCCCAGCCTCTGTCACCATGTTTCACTATGGCAGATGACTTCCACAAAGAATGTGTTTACTGAGCACCTACTTGGTAACCTGCAGGCTCTCCTGAAGAGTTATTTAGCAAATTCCTCCCTCATACCCTTCCTGAGGAGACTGTCCATTCTTCCCAGCCCCCTCTTCAGCCGGATTCCTGCAAATTAGGTCTCCTGTATGCCCTGGGAAATAATTTGGTACCATCACATGGTTGCTTTATACCCTGGTAGAAAGTTATTTCTTCAGACCCAGTATGACCTCAGGCTCCCACTGAAATCACAAGGCCTCTCAGTCTCTGCTTAGCATGGATTTATAAAGCCCACAGTTGGAAAAGGGGCCTGGGCTGCGGCTCTGCAGTTCTGAGTGAGCCTGGAGGGAGAGTGCGGTGCTGGGTAACCCAGCAGATTACTCACCTTGCTTGTCTTTCTGGCTTAGAATTAAGTGCAGGCCTACTGCGCTAATCTTTAGAAGGTGCTAACTCAGCACTGTGCCTGAACCATGGTGAGCTCTCAATGAATCAGTCACCCCAAGGAAGAAAGGCAGCTTTAAGGATGAGGGATTGCTGGGTGGCATAGGTCCAGATGGGCCCCTCTTTCCTGCTAGGGGAGGAAACTGGCATGGGGGAGGGGAGTAGAGCAGCTGTGGGGCTGAGGAGCAAAGGCAGGGACAGTTAAGGGCTGGGAAGGTGAGGGTGTCCTTCTCTGTCGCCCTGTCCCCGTTCAAGTCCCCTCCTCTGCCTTCTCCATGAAACAGAAACAGGACCAAGTTGAAGTCAAGCAGCACCCCCAGCCAATCTGCTTCTCTCTTTCCAGTCTACCCCATCCCAGCAGTTGTCTCTTAGAAACATCTGTGCATCACACATGCAGCCCTGGTATCCAGGAAAACACCAGACTGCTCTCCTACCTGGGGCTAAGTACCCCTCTGAGTTATACATATTTGTTATATTTTGCAAAGCACCTGAGTTATCTAATTTGATCCTACCAACCCAGGAGCTGGGAAGGGAAGTCTGGAATTATAAACCCACTTGACAGATAGGCAAAAGAAAGCTCAGGACCCAACGCCAGAGCCCTTGCAGGCCAGGAAGCAGTGCTTCCTTCCAGCAAAGTCTCTTTCTCCCTTCACTGAGGAGGCCCTGTGCTGTTCCTGCAGGCCAGGAAGATGGAGGCCTGACTCTGGTTGTCAGGCTGGAGGAGGAGGAACAGCGGCAGGGCTCAACTACCCACAATCAAGATGCCCAGAGAGAGGAGCCACCACTGCCCCACAGCCTCTCTGGAGAGAAACCACAGCAAGAGGTATCTGGAGAGCTAGCTGAGGCTCACCTCTGTAGAGAGCGTCAGGCCCCTAGCTCCAGGCCTTCCCCCAAGGACAGAGCACCAGCCTCATCCAAATTCCAGCCCCAAGGAGAGTCCAAGTCAGGGAAAAGGGTCAATTCGCCAGCTCCTGGTAAGCAGAAGAGGCCCAGTGCCCTGGATCTGGCATCTGTGTCATCTCCCAGTATCAGTAACTCAACCCGTATCAAGCACAACCCAGTGCCTTGTGGGTCAGGCCGGGGCCCCTGTCACCTGGCCAACCTGCTCAGCACACTGGCCCAGAACAGCCAAAACACAGAGCAGAAGAAGGGGCCCCCAGAAGTAACCTGCCAAGTTCGGAAAAAGACTCGAACCTTGTACCGCTCAGGTGAGTTCTGATAACTGAGAAATTACATGACCTCCCAGGAAGGGGTTGGAGCTGTACAGAAAATGTGATCTCAGGAAAGAGACTGAAGTGTGTGTTTACTATGAGTGCCACTTTATTCTGGATCCTTTTCTTGACCCCAAGCACAAAGCTGTGTTGTCACATCAGAAAGTGAGATTGGAGCCAGGTGTGGTGGTGCATGCCTATAATCCCAGCACTCTAGAGATGGCAGGAAAACCACAAGTTCAAGCCCATCCTGGGCAGTTAGTAATTTAGCAAGACCCTGTTTCAAAATAAAAAGTGTTAGGAATAGAGATCTTTGTGAAAGCCCTAGGTTCAATTTCCAGTACCACAAAAAAGTAAGGACATGAAAGCTTGGGACCATGATGGAAGTATGGAAAGTAAACCCACACAGGTCTCTGGAAAGTGCCCAAGAGCAAGAGACAGCCTGGCCCACCGGGGTGCTTCGGTACAAAGCTTTGGGGTGGAGGATGGAGATGCCATCTGCAAGACACACATGGGCCCTTGGTGGGCATCTCATTCTCTTTTCTTGCCATGAAACTGTTGTTTAACCTCCTGGGTGCTTCTTCCAGACCAGCTAGAGGAGCTCGAGCGGGTTTTCCAAGAAGATCACTATCCCGACAGTGACAAGCGTCGGGAGATTGCCCAGATGGTGGGGGTCAACCCCCAGCGCATCATGGTAAAACGGGGCTGGCTAAGCGGTCAGCGGGGTGGCCTTGAGCACTGTCAGGGGCAGGAAGCTCACTGCATTGCCAACCACATGGGAACCAGGGCTCCAATGTGGCTGTATTCTGCCTGTTTTCCCAGGGTTACCCCAGCACAGGCAGCTAGAAGAGAAAGCTGCCATGCTGACCTTTCCATGCCAGCAGACAGGCATCTGAAAAGAGTGGGGAAGTCACGTTCCTGTCATGCTGCACGTCACATGACAGCCAGGACTCAAGCTTTAGGCCTCTCCAGATCAGATGCCTTTTCCCTGCAGGTGTGGTTCCAGAATCGTCGGGCAAAGTGGCGAAAACTGGAGAAACTGAATGGGAAAGAAAAGCAGGACAGTGCTTCAGCCCCTGCTAGCAGTCATGGCGGGTAAGCGTTTGTACTCTTCCTGTCCTCACCTCCCCAGCAGGCAACCCAGTTCCTGAGGGGACCCTCAGGTCCTGAAGGAGAGAGAACTGGATGCTGAGCATGGGTCCTGGCACTATTTGGTATGTAGAGAGTTTGCCTGGAATGTGGCTAGGAAGCTGCAACTGCCCTGATGGCCATTTCAGAGCCCCGTGTCCTTTCCCCACACTGAGGCTGTGGTGTCCACCTAGATGCTAGCCAAGCTGAAGTCTCTCTTTTCTGCCTCCAGCTCCACAGCTGAGCCTCCACCAGCTGTTCCTATGGACCCAGACCCTGGCCCTTTCCCTCTAGAGCCCCCTCTGGACACTTTTCCAGGTGAGCTCCCTCCTTCTGAGGGCTTGCTAGGAGGACTTAAAAGCTACAAACACAGTGATGACAGGGGGTCCCTGCTTGGTAGAGGTAGGAGTGCATGCGATTCTTAGGGGTTTGGGCCACAGGGCCCATTGAGAGCAACCTAGATATTGCATATAGTGGACCCTCTGCGTCCCTGGGCATTGAATCTCATTTTCTCATACTTGGGGTCCCTCTTCACCTTCTGTTCCTAGAGCCCTCCATGCTGCTGACCTCAGACCAGACTTTGGCCCCCACCCAACAGACTGAGGGTGCTAAACGGGTAGCGGTGACCCCACCGCTCTTCAGCCCCCCACCTCTGCAAAGGACCAACCTTCCTTTTCCCCTGGGCCCTGTCCACAACCCAAAACTGATACCTCTGCTGATGGATGCTCCTGCCAGTCACCGAAGCCACAAGGATGGCCCCTGTGGGCCCTGGGGGACAAGGTATGGGACTTGATAAAGGAAGTGTGACCTGGGTCACCTTGGGGGAGGGGTGGTGTTGCGTGTTGGATCTCCACCAAAATGGGGCAAGGAAGAGGGAATAAGGAGGCCACCTCTGCACCTCTCTGAATCCTCCCCTGTCTCTCATAGCACGACCCCACCATCTACCTTATCTTACTTGGAAGACCTGGAGACCCAGGAATATCAGCCAAGCCACCAGTTCTCTCAGGCTCCACCAAACCAGCTGCTCCAAGCCCCCCAGCCCCAGCTGCCATACCTGCCGCCCTTGCCCTTCCCCATGCCAGGTTCATTGTCATTTCCTCCACCAGAAGATACCCTCTTTTCATTTCCTTGTGGCTCGGCCGGGGGCACATTGCAGAACTATGGCCCAGGTCCCCCATCAGGGCAGATCCTGCTGCAGCCACCTGCTGGGAATATGGGTAAGTGGGGGCTGGAGAGAAAGTCCCCCTTGGGACTGAGCAAAGTATGAGGGGGCAGAGAGCCTCACATGCTGGAGGGTAGACTGAGGTGAGGCATGGGTGGTGAGCAAATCCATTTCATGTGGTCTGCTTCTTGGTCCAGCTAAGCCAATGACAGTTCTCCTGAGTCTCAATGTCAGACTGAGAAATGAAACCAAGGGTCCAAATACTAAGGATTTGGTGAGGATTAGAAATGATATGAAAAGAATACTTGTCACAGTAGACAGCGACATTCATGAGTATTCTGCTGGGTCACTTGGACTTCTGAAATCCCAATGTGTCTCTCATTGAGACTAAATTCAAGCAGGAAGGGATGGAAGATGGGTCCAGGTGGTTTCCAGTCTCCTAACTGCCTACATGAGACTTTGCCTGACCTGTGATCCAGTCTCAGTCTGTGATACCAGACTACACAACTTGGATGCCAGGACTTGCAGTAGATTCTTGAGCTATGGTTCCCTGAACAGGCATGGGGCATTTTTTCCAGGACTCATTGAATAATCTCCAATACTCAGTCCAGTAACTCTGCTACTCTTTGACTCTACAGGCACAGTCCCTTGGAGTGACCCCTATTTGCCTGAACTACCCTTCCCTGGTCCATTCTGCACACAGGCTCCAGGGCACCCCCCAGTAGGAGACAGCTATTTCTGTGATCTATTTGCACCTCCCTGCACCCAGGCTACAAGCAGGCAACCTTCACCAGGATTTTCCCAGCTGCCAGAAGGGGCCAGACCAGCACCTGAGCCCCTACCCAGCAAGGTGCAAGAGGAGCAGACTGCCTCTTCCCAAGAGCAAGCCAGGGTCCCAGCAGAGGTTAGAGAGGAAGATAAGAATACCCAAGTCCCCTCACTGGAGGCCAAAGAATGATGAGAAGGGAAGTTGGCGGGGGGGGGGGGGGGGACCGGAATGGGGCATCCAGGCAGAGGAGTATTGCAAGGCTGGGAAGACAGTGAACTGTTGACTGAAGTCAACACCTACCTGATTGTCTGCTGGACATTGGTTGGAAGAGGAAGAGATGTGGACCCACCCTTCAGCCCGTGCCTGTGTAGCCTAGTCTGAAGAAGGGAAAGCCTTCATTACCATGGAATGGTGTTAGCAGTTTTCATTGTTTCTTTTTCTTGGTAGACTTGAGCAAGTGTGTCCACTGTATGCAATAAACCAGTGTAGCCCTGAACTTTTCTGTATGTCTGGGTGTGCCTCACCCCCCACCACCAGCTAATGAAGAGCCCTGTTTTTTGCCCGTAAGCTGTTCAGTTGGATGAACTTCTCAGGAGAGGTCCCCACTGGGCATCATGACACACAGTCTACAATTGTCCCTAGATCTTCTTGCCACTCAAGGAAGAACTGGGCATTATGAACTTTTCTTTCAGTCCTACCATTAAGCTGCATTCTGTTCCCAAACCCAAATCTCAACTTGAGTCTGGGTCTCTCTGAAATTTGGGTGCTGTATAGCCAGCCTGACAAGGGGGATGCTGAGACCATTGGACGTCAAATATTCTTTCTACAAAGCTCCTTTTATAATGGGGAGAAAAGAAGGAGTGAGGGATGAGGGTGACCCAAAGATAGAAAGTGCATATTTATTCTCATAGGGTGATGCCTCAGTATCCCAGAACTGTTTACACAGACTTCACTGGGTTGGGATAAAGAATTCAGGGTCTTTACTGTCCCCCTATACCTGCTTACTTTGGTACTGAATGACACAGTGCTGGGCATCTTGAGAAATCACCTGATATGATCACTATTTCTAATTGATTTTTATCAGTGAACTGTAGTTGGCTACTTTTGTCCATTTATGGTTATGCTGTGGGGTTAGGAGTGAATCCAAGGAGATTTGAGGTGTAAGAAGTGGAGAGAATGAGTGTAAACAAAGATGAGGAATGCTTCCTTAGAGTCTAGACAGGTGGGGTTGCAGACTGTACCCCATGTCTATGGCATATAGTATCCACATGCAGTACCCAACCTACAAACTTTTGAATTGCGAACTTTCATAGATACTAACAGACCTCATATTCAGAACACTGTAGATGTGAACATGATATGAAAGTAGCTCATATACCTGCCAGACAATGTCTTAGGTGTCCTGATGTGTGCAGTTACCATACAGTGCAATAGTGTATAACATCAGTGTGTGCTTTTTATGCTTTATTTTGTATATTTGGTCAAAGGTATATAAAACTCTCTTTTTTGGACTTTCAAGCAAACCAACTTACATTTCCTGGAATGGAACTCTTTCAAAAGTTGTGGACTTACTGTAGTTAGAATTTGAGGGCTATAGATTCAAATCATTTCACTATATCTTTAGTACAGTATTTGTGGAATAGAGTGTCATTCTGGACCTCCAAACAATCGTATGATTCTTGGAAAATATGCACAAAAACTTCTAAGAACTCATATCCCTCAGCAATTCTTGAGTTAAAGCCTATAGTAATAGAAAAGGACAAAGTTCTTAAATGGGTAAGAAACTACTTACACAAATATTCATGTCCTTTTTATCCATATAAGTTCTTTTTAATGACAGTTTGCATATACACAGATTTCACTAACTGAATCAGAGGTATTCAGTAAGCAATTGTGTCTATACTGAACATATACATTTTCTTGCCAATTCCTAAATCATAGTAATTGTTTACTTAAATTGTTTGTTAGTAAAAATGCTGTATAATGTAAACTAGATATACATATGCACATAGGTTACATGCAAATACACAAATTGTATGCCATTTTATATAAGGGAAGCCCACATGCACAGACTTTGGTACCCATGGGAGTCCTGGAGCCAATGCACTATATTTACTGATGACTGTAAGTCTCACCATCAGTATTTAGCATCTTTGCTCTGCTATTCAAATCACCATTTTATATTGCCACTCAAGGATTATAGTAGTAAGGTTTCCATAATCTTAATCTGATGTTGTCATGGTTTATGTTGGTGGCCCCCAGGCATCATGCATTTGCATTGTGTATTTGTGATAGGTTCATTGTCTAGTGCTTGGATTGATGGTGTCAGTGCTACACCCATCGAGGTGTGGAGCCAGCATACAATATAGTGGCAGAAAGAAGGTGTGTGTCTCTCTCTTGCCAGTTTCCACCTTGCTGTTTGCACCCACCATAAACTGTGGCCCTGCTATGCCACTCTGCCTTGGAGCCAACTGAGTATGGACTGAAACCTCCAAAAACTGTAAGAAATAAACCTCTCCTTTCCCAGTTTTGGGCATCAGGTATTTTATCTCAGCGATGAGTAAAAAGTAACTAAGATGTACACACTAAAATACAAAATGGACAATAAGTTCAGGAAAAAGCGTTCAGTATCTTTGGTCCCTACAGAAATGCAAATCAAAACATTACTGAGTTCATCTTTTATTCTAGTAAAAATGGCTGTCATCATGGACTCAAGCTGAGGAGGCTACAGGGGAAAAAAGAAATGCCTTCATAGTGTTGGTGGGAATATAAACTAGTACAGTCACCATGCAAGTCAGAACAGATTCCTCAAATTCCATTTGATCCAGCTATGCCTCTTCTGGGACCCTCCTGAAAGAATTAAAATCATCACATTACAAGATACATGCACCCACATGTTTAGCAACACAATTCACAAAAGCTCAAGTATGGAAGTAGCCTAGATCTCCATCAACAGATTAATGGACAGAGAAAACGTGAGTTATAGAGATACAATGCAACACTACTCAGCTGTAAAGATAGATAAATTTAAGTCATTTGTAGCTCAATGGGTGGATCTGGAGAGCATAATGCTAAATGAAATATATCAGACATAGGTTATTACATGGTTTCTCTTATATGAGAAACCCAAAATATAATTGGAAGAGCAGAATAAAAATGATTGTAGGAAACAGAGAGATCATCTTTGTGGAAATGGGAAGGTGATCTGAGCAAGATAAGAGATGGTAGGACAGGGTAGTGGGAGTGAAAATGACCAAGATGTGATTATATATATTATATATATATATATATATATATATATATATATATAACAATATATGATATATAATATATATAATAATTATATATTATTATGTAATTATTATCTATTGAAAATATATACTTTGTAATACAAAGCAAACACAAAATGAGTTCAAAATAAAAAATCAATGTTACACCTGATGGGGAAGTTTCAGGAACCAAGCTGCTGACATGTAGGGACCCTGCCACCACCATCCATGGCATGTACAGTTTTGTGTTTCCACTGGGATGGAGGGGGCCTAACTCTCTTACATAAGCACCTACAAAGTTTTTGAATGAGTTTATAATAAAGTTCTTCCCTTTACTAGGCAAACAAATCCATCTTAGTTGACCAGGGTTTTGTGTTCTAAATGCTCCAAAGAATAAATCTGATGTTGCAAAACCTGTATTTCATTCCTGTCTTGTATTTCGCAGGCAATAGGGGAGCTACTTTCCTTGGCCCACCTGTGGTCTGGTCTCCAACTTCTTTGCCACCCCGTATGCCTCTTAGCAAATGAGAGTGGCTTTGGCAGCGTACTCCTAGGGGTGGTGTCAGAACTGAGTGCTAGCTTTAGCATAGTCTGGTCAGTTGCATAAGCAGTGAGATTATCACCTTCACCAAACAGGATACTCTGCTAATGTTGCATCTGTTAAAAACTATCAAACTAGTGTCAGGAGGTTTTTTGTTGTGGTTGTTTTATTTTGATTTGCTTTGCAGTTTATGTTCTTAGTACAGAACTGGTTTTTGGTAATGGCTTCTAGGTCATTTAAATAGAAGTTGTTTGAAAGCCAGTTAAAACTCTCATTTCATAGTTTGAGAAATAACATTTTGAGTCTAAATATACAAAGATTTATGCTATATGCAGAGTTTGATTTGGTTAATTTTAGCTGTTTTTGAGTTTTTGAAATATTTCAGAGTCCTGATAAAAACACTACCCATTTTTGCAACTTAGGTCTACCTCCTGCAGATTGGACCAGCAAGTTTCATGTGTTTTATAATGAAATAATTGATAAATCAATAAATGGTAAAGGTATATACAAGTTATTTAGGCATTCCTACTTGAAACATTCCATCAATACACACTTCATGTAGAGTTAAACTAGCTACAATTCTTTCTTTTTTTTTTTTTTTTTTTTTTTTTATTTAAGGAGAAAAGAAAAAAAAACAGAAAGGGTACAAGTTATACAGATTTGCAGAAAAAAAATGAACAGTAGGAAATCACTAGTTAATGGATTACATATTGTCATCTTAGAAATAATTGTTCAAGTCACAAAATTAAAGCTTGTAGAGTGGACATTCCATCAATGATACTGCAAACAGTTCTGTTCAATGATCCAATAAAACTCTGTGATATCATTTTTTATCTTATACACTTAAATATACATGCAGTTATATAGTTTAGAGCACTTTCTTTTCCTCTCTTTTGTACAATGACTATTACACATTTTGGGTTTCATTGCTTCCACGGTTCTTATTACTTTTTTGGAAGAGAGTAAAACCAAATGTGACATAACAGAACAGAATCGGTCAAGTCAAAAGGGTGGACATAATAGATAATGTGAAAACATAATACAAGGTGATCAACAATGGTTACCATAATGCCTCCCACTATCTCTAATAGAATTGCCTGTATCGTTAGTTATAATACAATTGAACAAAACAGTAAAGAATAAAAGCGACAAAACCAAAACATTGGAGACATTGTAGGTCTTCAAAAGTAGATAAAAGTCAACGAGAATGGGCGTTATAATGAATCTCATTATCTTCACAGCTGATGCCTAAACTTTCGAACCTGATACTATCCAGCAAAACAGAATAGGGGAACATCAGTTAAAAACCAGATGGTGAGAGTAATACAGGGCTTTAAATCGAGGTAATGGAAAGTCAAAGTGGGTTACTATAATATATTCTGCTATTTTTTTTCCTTTAATTAAAAGGATAAAAATAAAAAAGTAAATAATGGAGTGGAGATTGAGATAAAAGAAGGCATAACAACGAAACAGCACAGATCAAAACATAGCCATTTAAGCAGAATAGTGTTTCACCACCAGATAATCCTGACCTAAAAGTAGTTACCATATTGTCTCTTTCCTTGAAATCCTTGAGTACAACTTCGTATACTGTAGCATTAAGTATATCAAAACAATGTAGAACCATTTAAGAGAATGACAGTATTACAGAGTATTTCGAATCGACTAACAGAAAATGAA